GTCCGTCCGACCTCTCCGGCCGACTACGGTCGCCGGCGACTACGGTCTCCTGCCGACTACGGTCTCCTGCCGACTACGGTCTCCTGCCGACTACAGTTCTTCAGGCCTTTGTCGCCTACTATGGTCCTTCCGACCTCCATCAACAGACAACAGTCTTTCTGACCCCGGTCTCCTGCCGACTCCGGTCTCCTGCCGACCACGGTCCTTCAGGCCAAACAAACCTGTATATGTAACTCTTACCATGTAATGCAATCTATATGATGTACATTTGCTACATCAATCCAAGGCCTTCTCCTAAGGAAGGGCCTCATTTGTAATCGACTACAAATACTAGTGGATTCATTCAAACCGGGCCAGGCCCCGTGATTTTTCCCCCTTTTTCAGGGGTTTTCCACGTAAAAACTTTGGTGTCTCTTATGAACGCTACACCCTCTCACTTATCTGATTGTGTGCTGGATCTTCGTACAACGCTAAGACGTTAAACTATATATTTCTCTACCGTCGCGAATATTCCAGGACGCAACAAGCATAATCAATTATAAATCATATTCATCAAAATAAGCAATTGTATTCTTTTCTCAAAATTCATTTATAATAGTCATGAGATCAATAACTATATATATCAATTTATCTTTCTACTCTTGACTAAACAAATAAAATAAATGCATAAAACAAAAGAAAACTTGAGAAAGCTTGATTTGTCTCACTCCACTGGATCTTCTCCCTTATCTGAAAACATACAAAAATTACAAAGAGAGCTAACAACTTAGCAGGTTATCATAATCTGCAACTATAATTAATGCAAGACAGTGAAAACAATATGCATGTAATCATTCAATCAATATCAGTATGAACAACATCAATATGAACATAAACCTTGTAAAAGCAGATAACAATCAACGCACACAATATCATGTCATATGAGCAATAATTTTAGTACAACTGTATTGATTAGTGATCATTAACCAAGTTAAGGATAGATAGGTTCTAACATATCTATACCTATTATTAACAAAAAAGTTTCTATGTCACTTTATGAAATTAGTACACTTGCCTTTATCATGTGCATGTTATAATAACAATGCAATGCATATATATCATGTTCATATCAATGCATTATTTCAAGTATCAATCTTATCAATCTTATCAACCTTATCTATAATGTCATATTTGCATGCATATCTTATAATATAAATATTATATGAAATGCGTATCAAATATGTCATTTAGCTAGTTCACATAAACCATGTGTCATTGTATCGATCTTAGCAATCATGTCATGCCACTTATGCAATGTATCATATGTGTTAATATCTTATGCGTGTATAAATAATCTAGCAAGATTGAACATCTGACTACATATAGTGTTTTTCTTATATCCAGTCATGTAGGCTTACCCTACAAGAATTAATCTCAATCATATTTTCATAAATCAATAAATATATATTGCATATCATAAGACATTAGTTAGGTGACTTTCATGTAAGAAGTCATCACTTTCTATTCATCGTCGTATATCATATCAATCAATCTCCTTATATCTCTCGTTTCATATCACTTATGATTACACAACAAAATTAGCATGAGCAATAAGCAATTAATAAAATTAATATCAATCAATAGTAAAATCAATATTATTAATGAAGCCAAAAGAGGTCTATTAGAATATTAGAAAATTCAGTAAAAATGACTATTAATTAATATGTCATGCCTGAATGTTGTATCAGTGTACTTACCATTGTATTCTGCTTTAGTTCTATTTATTAATCAATTCGTATGTTATGAAATCAAGAATGCGATATTAAATAGCAAGGCAGGACATCTAGCATTAATGTTGTGTCTTCATTCTTCCATCCAACTATCAATAAGTTGGTCATCAGTCTTTAGTTTAATCACAACTATCAACTAGTTGATCATTAGTTTTTATCTTGCCATCATTATTCATCATCTTAAATCAATTTATATGTTATTTTAAATAATCAATGAAGAGTCATCACTAGCTACTAGTCAGCATAATTTGGTCAATCGGTTACAAACTAACATCCAGAGTTACACCACAAATTTTTTATTTTAAGAAAAGATCGTCGATCCACCTCATGTGTATGATATTATGTTTTAAGAACCAACTCATATTAATTATAATATTAACAACCGATCTTTTTTATTTATATGCAAATATTACTTTATTTTATATCAGTCATATCATTTTTTCCATGCAACTCAATATAATGTATGAAGTACAATAATCTATGAAATGCAGAGAAATCTAAACACTATTTATTTACTTTAGAAAATTATAACTATAGATCTATCTAGTGAAATTCAAAAATATTATAATCGAAATGCTCATACAATCCATATCTATCATATACAAAAAAAATTATATAGAGAAAGCTTGATAAATCAGAAAAAGTATATTTTTGACGGATTCGAGAGAGATAAAATCTTTAGAAATTAAAATCATAAAAAACAATAACAAGAATATAATTACTTACAATGAATAGAACAACTTTCATATAAGTAGAACATTGAATGAAAAAGACTTGAAGGTCTTCCTCTCCTTCCTTTCTACTCTTCTTTTCTTCCTTCCCAGCCAAGCAACTCAATGCTTCTGATTTTTTTTAACTACAACGAGCATTCGGACAGGAACAATTATTACGTCCTCTGACCGGACGTAGATCTACGTCCGATCAGAGGCTTGTTACTCAATTTTTGCTCGGTATTTGATCGGTATTGATAGGCATTGTTTGATAATATGGAGGAATACCGCTCTGAGAAGACCAATACCGAGTTATACCGAGCAATACCGAGTTATACCAAAGAATACCGAGTTTTTCTCGGTATTTTTTTGGTATAACTCGGTATAACTCGGTATTTCGTCTTGACCTAATGATATTTTCTCGTTATTATTGGTATTGCTCAGTATTTGCTCGGTATTTTTTGAATGAAGCTTCTCATTCAACCTCTATTCTCACAGCCTTCACTACATTCTTGCTGCATCCAAATCTTATCCAAGCTTTGGATCACATTGATGAATTGCCTGAACTTAATTACAAATGCTTATAAATTATCTATCTGCTATATTTTATACCATCTTTGGGGTGAAAGGGAACTCCAGGAGATATAGTAACTCTGCTCATTCTCTGCTAGCTTTACAATATAGCATCCGGCTTAAGAGCTGGAAGAATTATGATGTGGGCAAGAAGATTTTGGACTAATTGTCATAGGCTTGGTTCTAACCCTATCTTGCAGGCTGATCGTTTTTGTTGAACAATGATGACAGATGCATTCTCTCACCTGATTACCATCGACCACCTGGATGGTCTTCGCATCTGCTTGGCAACCTTCTTTCAAATTTTCATATCCCCCTGGATGGATAATTTATTCTGTGTGAAATCCGAATGAGAAGAATCATCTTGATTGTTGCGTATTTTATGAATATTTAATGCATATTTTCAAATACACAGTAAATATTCACAAAAAACACAACAAATCACCAAATACTCATAAAATACTCAGTAATGCTGATTTGCTGTGTTTTTTATAAATATTTATTGTGTATTTATACAGTAAATACTCACAAATTCACCGGTCCGCACTCCACACAGAATAATTTACCCTGGATGGCCGGCTCATGCCCACGCAACCGGGTAGCATATCTTACACATGATCATTCATGATTTTGGGAAGGTTTTGGAGTCTAGAGAGTCCAGGCTTTTCTAGATCCTTCTTATCTTTGGGCTTTTATGTTTCATGCAGCATTTGTTTTTCTGTCGAGCAATGTCCTGATTCTCTGTTTATCTCCTGACCTGTAACTGGGCCTAGGCCCTGGTATTTATTTGTTTTAGCAAAAGAATCGGGCTCTGCCCTAATTACACCCAAATAAAGTGACAGTCCATCTAATCTTCTAGGCTGGCTGCACTTGTACACAGGACACATAATTGAACTTTAGTGTAGCAAATCATAACTACATGGACATACAGAAATGGTAACGTCGGAGAGATTATTATGTGCGGTGCCCGAACAAGTTTGGAGGTCAATCCGGACGAGCCACATCATCCAATGCACTGTATATTGAATGACGTGGTGCATCCGAATTGACCTCCAGATATGTCTGGACACCACGGATAATAATTTTTCGTAATAGAGAGCTAGATAAAAAAAGATGCATCTTCAAATCACCTCTTGCTTTGTATGAATTGACAAACACTATCTTAAACAAGTATATACCCTCTTGAGGATCAAAGCCTCTCAGGAAATCGACCTACATATGCTACAGATGAAGTAAACATTGTCATGACTGTGATGCACATATCCTATCCAACAAATAGCAGAGACTGACTAAAGTTGATAAGCCTAAAAACATCTACACTATCGGCTGGGACACTCCTAAAGACTATCAATCTAACGCCCTGGAATAAGAAGCTTTAACTCATTTGTCCCTTAACCTGAAGTTCATGCTTCGGGCTTGTCAAAGGCGAGCCAGTTTCTGGTGTGTGTGGTTCATGATGGGAGTCTTCAAAAGAAAGGCTATGCAAGAAATTCGTTTTGGATTTATCTTTGAGGGAAGACTTTGATGGAACCGTCTTATCTTCTGTGCATTGGTCTGCTGAGATCTGGGGTACTCCACCATTGAGTCGCTGCTGTTCTTCGATGATCTTCTTGAGATACTTTCCTTGCGCTTCTATCCTTAGTTGCAGTTGCCGTTGAACCTGCAAAAAAGTTGGCATGGAGCCTTGGTCATTTTCATATCTTCAAAAAAAATTATAAAGGAATCAATTAATGTTACAAAACCATAAAGCACCATTTGATACATCTGAATTAAAAACATGTTTGTTGAAGATAATAAGCTTTCAGGCACAAAGCAGAGGGAAAGAAATGAAGGTAGACAATAATCTAGAAAAAAAAGAGTAGTTTCTTATTTCCAAAGTTTTCTATTGACTTCAAACAATAGTAATATTGTGACAACTCTCTCACAAGTTCTTTGGATCAATAAGCTTTTAAACTTAAAAAGTTTCTAACTTTTATTCCCTTGTGATGAGACCCATCATGATGGTCGTGTGGCGAGGCTGATAATGGCATGGTTATAGGCAAAATATATTTTCTCCATGCTCTCATTGCAACCATACTGATCATTCTAAACATTATTCGGATAAATTCAATTATCCCTCAACCACCCAAAATGTCTATATGATTGTAACAACCTAAACTCTTAACTATCGAGATAATGTTTGTTTTGGCCTAAGAGCCTCAAGGTTTTGTCCTGTTGGTTTAACTTCCCAGTAGATCACTCATCTCAGAATGAACACAGATGTGCAAATTAATGTTTTGAATTATAAAATCTATTTTTGTCGTTTATTACTGACAGATGATATTAGATAGCTCTGATTGATGTTTATTAAAAGATAAATGAATAATTCTTCTGGGACATTACAATGATTCCTCTATGATAGTTGTTGACCCTTCCACCCACCACCTTTTCAATGTATGCCACTCCTCAAGAAGATTATGTTGAGTAATTCAGCATTCTCAAACAAGTGTGTTTTGCCTCCCATGCTCATTGCTCCTATAGTTTTATAGCAAACCTTTCTTCTAGTAAGCCTTGTTTTTGAGATTATAAAACATTTTTACTTATGGCCCGTAATCGGCGATTGTTCTCCCTAATTTGGAAATTTTACTTACCACCTGTAATTTTTGTTGATGGTTTTCACTATCCCATGTTTGGGACAAATACTATCTTTATTTCAAAAGTTTATCCCTCCTAGATACTTTATATGCTCACAATTTTTTTATTGATGATATATATTCATAATCTAAATAACGGCTCTGTAACATTTTATGCTTAGTATTTAGCTCATTCTCTACTAAGAATGGGATCTGTTAGACCGGTCCAGAGGACCGGTCCAGCCGGTCCAGGCGGGACCGGCTCAGACACGAACAGGGCGGAAAACTTCCGCCCGCTGGGATGCCGAGCGAGCCGCACACCGTGCGGGAGCCAAATAGGAAAGAAATTTGGGGGAGTTAAGAGGGAAATTTGAATGTAGGGATTGTTTAGGGAATTCTTTTGATGGGTATGCATTAAATAGTTTGTTTTGCTAGGGTTTGGGTAACTTGAATTTGGTTGAAATTTGAGATCTCTTATATTTAGGTTTTCTTTGGGCTCTTGGCGTTGCCAGAGATTTGGGAGAGATCGAATGACGCCGGAGCTGACGATGGACAGTAGAATGCCCTGTTTTCTTTGAAGATTGTAATGCCAAAACTTCAGCTCATAGTTGTTTGTTCATTTGCTTCTTTGTATAGCCAAATATGTGGCTGAATACATGTGTATAAATAATAAGCTTCACGTAATAAGAATGGCTTTTGGTTTTTGGTGTTAACAAACTTTCTTTTCTCTTTGTGAGATGTTCTGTATCCTGACGACGTCAGGTGGTGGTATTCTGGGCGGTATTCGCCAGCCGTAGTTCCTGCTAGTATCGGAACTTCTGGTGAGGAGGAAGTTCTTCGTTGCTGCCGCGACTAGTTCACAGTCCGGTGTCATCGATCCTCCTCTCGAATTGAGGATCAATTGTATCTTGCTATTTTATTCATCGTTTAGTGGAAAACAAATCTTGCTTTGAGTTTTCTTTCAAATTTCCTCTGAAATACTGCTGTTAAACTGCTGTAAACAGAGTTTTGCTGTGTTTTCCTGCTGTGGACAGCAGTCCAATCACTGTTCTCGCTGTTTTTCAGAAGATCTACAAGTGTCTCCTATCAAATTGGCATCAGAGCGTCGTTTTTGGGACCGTTGGCAGCTGAAATCCTGAAAATTTCAGCAGTTTCTTCGTTCCCGGAATAAGATTTTTGAGATTCTTGGGAATAACGATGGCCGGGAAGAAGGTAGAAGTCTTGGAAGGCGAAATCGGACAATTGAAATCCGATTTAGAGGGAAGATTTTTCAATTTCCAAAATCAAATCACCTCCAACAATGAAAGGTTGGAGGGGAAGTTCACCGTGTTGGAAGAAATGATGAAGAAATTACTTGAAATGAAGACCAATCCAGCAACATCGGAAGTAAGAGAGACCATAGACGGCCATGGCATGGGAGGAAATCCGAACCCGTTGCGGGGGAGGAGGAATTCAGAGGTGGAGATCCTGGAGGAGGAGAACGACATGCCCCCTCTAGAACTGCTTTATAGATAAGAGATGAGTAGGGGGCACGACAAACGGGAGGCTGATTTTGTCGGAAGAAGAGAATAATTTCATCGCCCAGGTGCTGAATTTGAGAGAATCCAGCGTCGAGGTGCTGATTGTGAAGGGGGAAGAGAGGAATTCCATCGCCGAGGGCGTCGAGGGGATGATTTTGAAGGAAGAAGGGAGGAATTTCATTGCCGAGGTGCTGAATTCGAAAGAATTCAGCGTCAAGGGGCTGATTTTGAATGAAGAAGGGAGGAACTTCATCGTCGAGGTGCTGAATTTGAAGGAATTCAGCATCGAGGTGATGATTTTGAAGGAAGAAGGGGAAAGTATGAAGAGGGGTTCGAGTATAATCGTCGGAGGGATGGTCGGGACACTTGGGGAGCTCTTCCTCTTCGAGGAATGGGAGGTTATGGAGGAGTCAGGGGAAACTGGGGAGACCCACGAGTGAGGAAGCTGAAGATGTCCGTCTTTCAGGGTGAAGACGACCATGGCTGGATCTACAAGGTGGAGCGTTATTTTGCTGTCAACGGGTTGACAGAGGAAGAGAAGCTGACAGCGGCGGGATTGTGTTTGGAAGGAAAAGCCTTGGCATGGTACCAATGGCATGATAAGAGGGAGCCCATCCGAAGCTGGAGAGAGTTTAAAGATTGCTTATTGGTGCGTTTCCGAGCCGATGGGGGAGGAGACTTCTATAAGCAATTCTTTGCCTTAACTCAGGAGGGTACTGTGGCAGTCTGGAAAATTACCGCGACAGGTTTGAGTACTTGGCTAGCAGATTGGATCACATTTCAGAGTCAGCCCTGGAAGGGAACTTCATGAAGGGGCTTAAATCGAAAATACGAACAACGGTCAGGGTGCTGGAGCCGAGGAACCTAGGGAAGGCTATGGAGCTGGCGCAGTTGGTGGAAGATCAGAAGAAATCAGAAAGAGGGGCTCGAGGAAACTATTCAGGGGGATCTTATGGGACGACGACCACTCTTCTAGCACCCAAGCAGCCTGCATCAGGCAACATCAATGAGACCACCAGGGAGAAGCTAGTAGGAGGGAGTGGGGAAAATTTCAAGAGGCTGACAGAGAAGGAGATGCAGGATAAGAGGACAAAGGGTGATGTAGAACGTAAGGATCCAAAATTTTTTTGAACAATTTCAGCTTTTGGTTTCCCAAAAAAACCTGAGAGGATTCACTGCTTCTTTCTAGTGAAGTAACCCAAAGGGGAGGCTTTGAAAGTTTCAGCCAACAGCAGGAAGCTGAGGGAAATTTGGCCAGCCACAGCAATCAGGATTTTG